TCGAGCTAACAAGGCTATACATACAACGGAGTCAACAGACTCCCCGATTCATTCGTTGTTTACCCCTTTATAATATTTTAAAACAATACTTGAAGATGTTGCCAATATTTAATTTATGTATGACGAAATGAAAACGTAAATAAATATTGATTTACCCATTTTTAAAGCACTCGTAAGTGTGGAAAACTGAGGGCAGACGGAAACGGCCGAGCACTGCCGGGCTCAGTCAATGCCTGACCGGCGTGTCAGAGCGCAGCAGAAAGCGCTTTCTGTGTGAACAGCCAAGCGCGAGCCGGCGCTGTGCGCGAGCCGGCGCTGCGCGCGCGGCGCTTCCTCAGTGAACCAGGCGTAAGTCTTTACAGACAAATTTCCCCTTGGGGATAAATGAATAAAGTTCTTCTTATCTTACAGGCAGGAGAGAAGAAAATATGGAATGTAAATTAGAACCAGAACTGAGTGTTTTGGTGAAATTCACAAGCTGCAACTTCATCACCTGCTACATGCGCATGCTAGTGTGTGTGTTACCTCTGAAGGTGTGTCCACAGGGTGTGTGTGTATGTGTCTGAAGACCTCGTGATGCTTGTTGTTTTGACAGCAGACAGATGGGGAGGTTTCCTGCTGATAATTGGCCAGATGTGTAAGAACACAGTGAGATAATGATACAGTGTGTGTGTGTGTGTGTGTGTGTGTTTACTTTCTCCAAGTCCATCTTCTCAACACCAGACAATAGAGACCCCTCACTGAGAGACAGCAATAACACACTATACACACAAACACACACACACATTATCACACCCTGCAGATACATCAAAATAAGCATACAGACATGAATGTTCAGCGCTCTCAGTGGGATACAGTGAAAGAGAAGTTAAACACACACTCACACAGCAGGAGAGATTCTCCCCACTGTGTTTGCATTTAGATAAAGCATTAAGCATGGGATGTTTTTTTCCAGACATCAATACATAATTAACAAATCCCTGCTCATCTTTGACGTTTGCCACAACCTACCATATGTAATTTAATTTGACATAGCAAGAGATAATATACAACATTTAATAGTCACATACACTTTGAATTTACTAATGGAGTAATTAAAGATTGTGACTGGGATCATTTGTGTCTTGAATTAAATCATAGTTTTCTAAATTACATTGTGCTGCAGAGAAGCTCAGCATGCTCCTGAGCCTAGCCTACTTGCTGTTCACCAGATACCACTGTATTCAACACTCTGAACTCTTCTTTTTGCCTGTCCTAAACTGGTTAATCAACCACCTCGTGTTAAAATCCTGCCTGCCTTACTCGTCTTGAGCTGGCTGACCTGACAGCCTGTCCCCATCTGCAGCGGCTTTCATACCCACTGCCTGGTTTAAAGCCAAAGCTCTACAATTATTCAAATATTCTGTGGACAACAGTGACATTTGGAAGGTAATCTCTGGTCATTTTCAGTGGGTCTCAGATGGAGACAACATGGTTCTTAACTTCACCAGCAAGCTGTGCTGCCTGATGCCCCAGTGACTCAGCCACAACCAGCACAGTTAAATTTTCTGTCTGCTAAGAGGTCAAAATCTGCCCTTAGTTTTCTTGGTTTGCCAAGCACCTGCTCCTGGTTCCCACATTTCCAGTCCAGATGACTCCTGCTCGTTGCCTGAGCTGAGCCCTCTGGTTGGTTGCCTCCTGCTGGGCCCTCTGTAGCTGTAGCAACCACTGTTCACATCTGCCTTAACCTGCAGCCAGATTTCTTTTTGCCGTACCTTCTCACCCCTTTCATTGACCTCATACCTATAAGGACTCCTGCTCTGCCTTTGACTGCCATCCTTCTGTCTCCTCAGCTCCCCACTCTACCTGAGCACTTTTTTTATCTAGCTTTTCAGGACATCTGGCTCAAATTCCTCTCTCTTCTCTCCTGTTGACTGTCGCTTACCAACCTGTTGAGATAGCTTACGTCTGTTTCCTGAAAGGCAGCATTTTAGTCATGTTTTTCTTGTATGTCAGTCTGTAATGAACACACAACGTGGTCTAGCATTACTGAGTTTCTTGCTGTGAAACCTATATGTACTTTGCCATATCAATGAAACCTTTCTAGCTATCAATGCCTTCGGAACTTGTACATCTCTCATAACATCATAGATACAGGTTTTTGAACTGTAGCTGATAATAAGCTGTGTGGAGCCTCTTTTTTTAAAGAAGACACAGCATCATAAATGTCACCAGCACCAGTTTACACAGTGTATGGGTTTCATTTTTTTAACCTGCATTAATGAATACTGGTTTACACTGTGTTCATGGACAATGCTTTTTAAAAATGGTTTTGAACCCATGCAATGATTTCCACTACAGAGTCATGTCTTCTTTGAATGCACTGGTGCCTTAGGGCTTTTGTACAGAGGTGTTTCTGGATTTTCTATTTTTATGATTTATGATGAAATCCAAATTCCTTTGCAATTTTACCCTCAGGAACGTAATTTGGAAATTGTCCAACTTTAAATTTTCTGACTTGATTGAAACACTTTACAACACAATAAAAATAATTTCTGTTTCAACATTTGATTTGTTTTCTTTGAACTATTATCAGTAGGCATAAAACACATTTTTAAAGCATTGAAACCTGTTTTTAGACACATTTTAAGCAGTGTAAAAGTCCTTTATAACGCCAATATCTGTACTTTACTGCCTGCCCGATTATCATATTCATTATCAGCTCTGCACACTTTGTCTGTTTATGAGTGCTATTGCTACAATCTTGCTCACACCAGCTGTGCAAAACATCCAAGGTGTAACTTAATCGTTTGTGACTTGATTTTTAATTGCAGTTAGTTAATTTTTACATGAAAACAGAGTGTCAGTTGAGACACATCCAAAATCCTATTTGTACACGGACTCATAAAGATGCCTGTTAAAGACATTAATAAAAGGATAGCTAATGTATTTTTAGATTCCAGTTCTTACCAGTCTGACACATTTCTTTCACTTACCACTTAGACTGTTAAGGCCTGATCTACTAAGCTCCCCAAAAAGGGGCACTAAATTGCGTGTGCAAACTAAAAAATTGCACATGCTATTAGTGGGCATGTTGTGGGTGATCTCCTACAGGCGCAAAAGTGGTGTGGACCGCCCTCTCTAAACAAGGATTTTTCTAAATATAGATACAAAACAGTGACCACAATCGGTTTCGGGGTATGATAAATCACACTGCAGGTGCTAAACGATTCCATTTGCATCTGCTCCTCCCAGTATTTTGCACGTTCTGATGATCTACATACATTCTGTATATTCATGAAGGCAAACATGCTAAAACAATTGCACATGTTGTTTTGCTAATTTGACAGATGCTAACCCGTTTAGTAAATCAAGTTTGTGCATGGTTTTGTACAAGCAAACTTTTAATAGATCAGACCTCTGGTGTGCTGTCAACCAAAGCCTGCTCAGCCCTGTTTAGTTGGTACTTTAGGTGAGACCCAGAACACCTCAGACAACTAAATCTAGCTAGAAGCCTGCAGCATCTGCACTCAGATGTTGATATCACTTTGTTTAAAGAAGGAATGATGTGCCATCTTCATTAGAGACTGACTTTAATTATGTCAAAATTATATGTATTTGCACTAACATAAAATATTCAGATCCTAGTTGCAACTGGGTTTATGTGGAGTTTTAAAAGGCTGTGTCCTAATTTGACTTCACATAAGAGAAATAAACCTTTAATTTAACCTCCAACCACACCACCACCCTTGCGGTGATATCACTATATTCCCACATGTCAACAATAACATCCTGCCTCCCCCACCTTTTAATAAGTATCCTCTTCTTTCACACACACCGTCCTTATAGTGGAGACCCTAAGCCCAAAAAATAAGCTGTTAACTTTAAGTCATGATAAAAATATCCCCTTTGGTATGGAAGTACTTCAGGGTCATCAGAAACATTTTGTCCAAAGAGACAAGTTAGATCACCCTAATTTTTTTTATAGCCATTTTAAAAATGGGTTTCAATGTAAAAAACCCAATGCTTCATTAATTACCATGACAGTGGGGGATAAAATATGCTAATTTCATGAAAGAAGGTACGTTTAATGTACGTTTAACAGGGTAACTTACCCCCCACCCCAAACTGTACATTTCTGGGGTCAAGGAATCCATATGAAAAGGTCTCCAGACTAAAAAATATATAGTCTTCTCATTACCCTCACAATGGGGGTAAAATATGCACATTTAATGAACAAAATAAGTGTCAAAAAGGTGACTTTAAAAATGCCCCCCTAAAAAAGAAAGAAAAGAAAAATGGTACAGCCTCTTATGTACTCTATGTGTCTCTGTCTGACTGCATTTGTATCTGTTTGTATGACTGCTGAGTGTTACACCTCTTGTAGCCAGTTGCTGCCACAAAACATGAATTCTATACCAGGGTCTGTGACAGCTGGATGAAATCAGAGGTGACAGAAAATGCGACACTTTGAGGTTCAGTTTGAGGTTTGTATTACTTTCCCATTTAATACAGAACATTTTAATGTTGGCTAAATAACTAACTAGCTAGCTAGTTAGCTACTTGACAATAAGTTAGTTAGCGTTCTATTTTTTTAACTTCACTCTATTATTGAATTGCGGTAAGTATAATATTACTAACTACCTGTAGTTGGCTACTTATTAGCCAATATTATCAGCAAGCACAACATTGATAACTACCTATAGGTAGGTAAATAGGTAGGGACCATCAAAGGCAATGGCACTGCCAGCATTCCATGCTTGAACAGGGTGCGACACAACCTCAGCTTTTTTGGCAAGGGCAAGAAGACAGCCTGGTCTGTGTGGCAGTCCATGCCTGAACTGACCTTGCCTCTTCAACTGCTCTCTGGCCCTAGCCCTACAACTGAGATGATCAAAACCTGCAGACCCATACTCCAGAGATTTGTCCTGAAGCTGTATGGTGTGTCCGAGGACGACATCAGGACTGTGGATGCTGCTCAACTCTCCCTTTTCCTTCACAAAGGATGAGACTTCGATCACATGCCGCCAAGCAGTGATGCACTCCATCAGCACCTCCTCCGAGTAGCTTATCAGGTAATGATATAAGACAGCCATACATATGGGCATACTATTTCAATGTCATAAAGTATATCACTAATCGTAATTTTCTTTACAGAGTGGACATGTTTGGGGCAGTATGCTGGTCAAAGACGCTGTTACTGTCTAACTCTCACAGTGGGGATGGCAGCAGGATTCCCCAGACAGAGCACCCACACCTCTATACACTACTACTGCAATTATTTCAAGGGACTTGCCAGAACTCGTTATTTGCAAGTGCAAGACAGACTGTAAGCCACCTTGCAAATGCTGCATGCAGAGGCAGCCATGCATGTCTTGTGGGGTCCTCCATATGAGTGAGACTTAAAGCTGTAAAATATGATGAAAACATCCAATCTAAACATCTAAAGGAAAAATATCATTGGTATAATTAGATACCTGATTTTCTGATCTGTGTTTCACAAAGTTATGTTAACTCTGATCCATTGAAGACTCTTATATGTTGTCAGACATCAGTCATGCACTTGGATTTTCTTTTTTTTCTTTTTTTGCATAAAGTGGCTTACATTAACTTTTTTTATTCTTGTGGTTTCTTTAAATTTCCTCTTTGTATGCATTTTTTATGCTCATGCCTTAAACATTACTGACTCTTCTTTTTTTAATTCTAGGTTTTGCCTTTAAAAGTGTTTTCTTTAGTAGATTACTCCAACACTGAGAGCGATGAGAGTGTGACCAACAAGCCTATGTCTTCACCCTGTCATGAAGTGTTTCCAAAGCTAAGGACAAATAGTATTCTGGTAAGCCTCACATCCTTAATAGCAAAAACCTTTTAATGGGTCATTTTGACAAAAATCTACACTTGCTATTGAAACTGGCTTTCAACATCTTTACCTTTATATTACTCCTTTTATAAATAAAAATGGAACAACATTTTTCTCTCTCAAGTGACGACCACACAGAGGGCCTTTCCACTTGCAACTCTGACATAGTATCACATAGGGTGAGGAATGACTGCTTCATAAAAAGTCTATTTTTACTTGTCTAATTTGTCAGTACAAGGATACTGCCATATAAAGTCAAAAACATTTTTTTCTAACTACAGTTGCAGACTTGCACATTCATTAAAATGTACATCTGCCATTCCAGTTGGCCTGCCGGGTGATGACTTTTTCTTCCCTTTTATTTATATCGCTCTTAGTAATAATTTTTAAAATATCTTTCTCATGAGTGGCTGTGCCTCCTCACTCATATACTCTGATTTTTGCTTATTTTTCAGACTCATATATTCTTTGTTTTTCTCTCTTCTTGCTATGTAAATCAGAGTACAGGGTATACCTTAACCCTGATTTAATTGTCTTGCAGATGCAAACAGAACCAGATTTTGGTCGTCCTCAGTATGATTCGAATGAGAGTGTAGTGGATAAAACCAGTGATGAGGATTCTGTAACGGATCATTCCAGCATGCACTCAGTTTGTGAACTTGTTCGCAAGCTAAGAAGAACAAAGAGTATTCTGGTATGCCTCTGACAGTGAATACAAATGACTCATTCATTGTCTATTCTGCCCAAACTCCTTTGCTGTGTTGTTAATAAAGACTGTAACTAATATGGATAAGTGTAACCCAATATGACTCTCTTTTGCAGATGAAAGAGGGACAAGGTTTTCTAATCTTTATGATTCAAGTGATGACTTAGGAAAACTTATCCCCTGCAAGCAGCCATAAATAAAGACAGAGGGACAAGAATTCATGCACTGTGTGTACTGCTATGCATTATATACAAGAAGGGTGATGTGGAGACACTCTGAAGTCTGCAAATTCAAGCCTGACGGGAAGACCTCTAAACCAGGAAGAGCAAGAGTCCAGGCACTGTGCTTCTGCTGAACCAGCTCCTGTGAGATATAGTGATGGAAACTGGAGATTTCTGAATGAAATGAACCAGGACAAGATCTCTGCAGCTATTAAAAAGGACAGTTGTATTCTAGAGTATGGTTACAGACGGTTTAGAAAGAATGAGAGGGTCACAACTCAACACCAGTACATCCGGCAGAAACTAAGGAAACTCGGCAGACTGGTTCTTGCAGCAAGAGAGGTTGTACCTTTGAAGACTATCAAAAAGCTGATCAAACCTGAGAACTATGTGCATGTTGTTTCTACTGGGAGATCCCTGACTGGATTCAGTGAATAAACTGGAAAATATAAATGCCCATCTCTAGCACGCAAAGTTGGACACAGCTTGCATTCTTTGTCCATATTTCTTAAGTCAGAAGGACTGAAAATGAGAGACAAAAAAACTGTGCAAGATGCTGAGGAATTTGCACAGCTGTATCAAGAAAGTTAGAAATTTGACATCGCAAGCCAAGCATTAACCCATTTAAAAAAACGTTTCATTTCTAAGGCTTTAAAAATGTTACTGAATGATATATCAATGCATTTCCAGCAGATTTGAAAATAATAAAGGGTCTTTATGAAATATGTGCAGTGTCACATGTTTACTGTAAATTGTCACATGACCAGAGCTGTTTACTTCCTGTTTGCGCCAAGCGAAGAGGATGGCAGCAAGAAAGCTCCCAAAGAAAGGATTAGTAAAGTATGTTAACATAAAGATAGGACATAGATTTTTGGTACACATCATGTTTAAGGTGTCTAGTATCGATAAATGCATTTGCAAATACTCAACTTTGTTTAATGTGGTCATAGAACTCACATGTCACCGGCAACAATAGTGACCTATGGGATAACCCATTGTATCTACATGTTAATACACATAGGCTAACTGTTCTACCTTTCTTTCTGCTGCTACCTTTCTTCCTAATTTTACACAAAGACACACACACAGAAACACACACACGCACACACACACACACACACACACACACACACACACACACACACATACACACACACACACACACACACACACACACGAAGACTAGCTAGCTAACTCTACTTGAACAGTCAAAGTGGAATGCTCCACAGCTCCTGCCATTCACTCAGGACATCCAGATACTTCATTCCTTTTTAACTGAAAAACAGCAGCAAGTCTCCGATGCCCTGAAAGAAGACTTATAATTGCACCTCATCTCTCACATATTCCTTTATATGCTTTGTAAAAATTGTTAAATTTGATATAAACTTGGACAATCAGTGTCTGCCATTTAATAATGTGACCCTGCAAGGTAAAAGAAATACATTAAATGTTCAAATGTAGCCAAATGAAAATAAATATTTTGCACAGGACCTGGACAAGACGTTATTTTTTAAGTAAAATTGTTTTAATTTTGGTATTTCTCTTGTCCATTTTAAGTATTGATGCATCCCGAGAGGATTGGTCATTTGGCCGCCTGGTGAATGATGAACACAGACATCCAAACTGCCGTATGAAAAAAATTGAGGTAAAGGGAAGCCCACACTTGGGTCTTTTTTCTTTAAAAGACATAAGGGACGGTGAAGAGATTACATATGACTATGGAGGCAACGACTGCCCATGGCGAATGCAAGTATGTCTGATGATTGCACCGTAGAATGTATCAGAATATCATTGTGTATAAAGGTGTCTTCTTAAGTGTTTTCACATTTTTTGGAAATTTTGGACAGGATATTACTCATTGTGAGGGTAATGTGTTGTCAATCAGGTCTACTAATTACTATTTACCTACTTGGATATGATTTAGTGTTGACATTACATTGACCTAAAGCTCTTCATATCTACATTGTCTTTTCCTCACAAATCATTGCAGATGAAGTTGTGTGCCATGGATTCTCATCCTAACATTGTCTTTTCCTTAAAAATCATTGCAGATGACATTGTGTGCCATTAAAACTGATCATGTCAAGAGCTCTGATCCTGCTGTTATGTCTGAGAAACAGATGGAAGAAGCCTCATGCTCACAGGACACTCCTCAACAGGTATTTTCACCTTCATCACCTGACATTTACTTTTACAGCCTGTGTAAGTTGTGTTTTAGCAACTTAATACAGCAAATGGGCTCCTTGTGAGGGTACTTTGTTGTCAATCAGGTCTACTAACAGCTAAATCCAATGCCTCAATGTGACAAAAGATGACAGGACTTTAAAGTTGGATGTGAACCTTTGTGGATTGTTTCCCTGGGGCCAAATATCATGTTGGTCTGGCAAATTTACGACGTCCCCACAATGCACTTTTTTACATTAGTATTAGTGTTGAGTATAAACCAGAGATGCTTTGTCCCCATAAAGAATGATAACATGGTGTGTTAAATGTCCCCATTAAGCTTGTTGTATTGAAGATGTGTGACTGAAACACACAGGTTGACTTATTAGTCTGAAATATTACAGTATTTTTTTTGATTTTTTTTTTTCTTAAGTCTGATGTTTTGGCTAGTATATAAGATTAGAGATTCTTAAGAACATGCATTAACCTACTTGAATATAATTTAGTGTTGACATTACATTGATCTAAAGCTCTTCATATCTACATTGTACTCTATTTACAAATCATTGCAGACAACATTGTGTGCCATGGATACTCATCCTTACACTATATTTTTCGTACTTATTATTGCAGATGACATTATGTGCCATTAAAACTGATCATGTCAAGAGCTCTGATCCTGCTGTTGTGTCTGAAAAATGTATGGAAGAAGCTTCATGCTCACAGGACACTCCTCAACAGGTATTTTCACCTTCATCACCTGACATTTACTTTTACAGCCTGTGTAAGTTGTGTTTTAGCAACTTAATACAGAAAATGAGCTCCTTGTGAGGGTACTTTGTTGTCAATCAGGTCTACTAACAGCTAAATCCAATGCCTCAATGTGGCAAAAGATGACAGGACTTTAAAGTTGGATGTGAACCTTTGTGGATTGTTTCCCTGGGGCCAAATATCATGTTGGTCTGGCAAATTTACGACGTCCCCACAATGCACTTTTTTCATATTAGTATTAGTGTTGAGTATAAACCAGAGATGCTTTGTCCCCGGCTTAACTTCCCATGGAAAGTTTCTGGAAGTTTACCAGAAATTTACAGGAAATTTTACGCTCCTTTGCAACCCTAGATGTAAGTTTAAGTCAGCTGCAAACTGATGACTAAGAGCTGAATATTGATCAAATCCGAGGACAGACGCTTATATTAGTCCTGATCATCCTCATAATTTCACTTGTACTGTATGTACCGACACAGGACTTGGAACTGTAGCTTCTCCTTTATACTGTTACTAAAACCTTTATTTTTGTCTCCTTGCAGGTAAAGCTAAACAGAAAAGAACACCTTGGCAGACGGCAGAGGTTAGAGCAGTAGGGAGGCATATGAATCAGTTCATCCAATCTTGTACTGTACCATTGAAGAGAGATTGTGAGAAATGTTTGAGAGCTGAACCTGAAGCTCTCAGTCACAGAAACTGGCAGAACTTGAAATTTTATGTCTACAACAGGATTACAGCCTTGAAAAGGAAAATGCACCCTAAATAGTATGGCCCATACAAAGAAAGTGGTTGTGGGTAAGCTTTGTTTTTTTTTTCGTAGTCATTTTTTTTCTGTCTGAATAACAACTTCCACCCAGTTCCAGCTTTGTGGAAGTTGTTTTGTATTATCTGGTTTGTTTTGTATTATCTGGTTTGGGGTATTGAAATGCAAGTCCATTTCACACCAGATTTCTCCTTTTAAAATCAAATTTCATGAAGCCAATTGTTAAGTGTGGCAGATATTTCTTTAAAAACTCAAGACTTTTTATCATCACACAGAAGTTGCTGAACTTGTGTGTGTGTTTATTTTTTTATACACATAATGTTATTGTCATTGCAGAATTGTAATTTATACAATGTTATTAAAGAATATGTTGTGTTGGTCAAACCAGTTTGATTTCTGGGTGGGGTGGTGTTGCATGTTGACTGAGTTGTAGCAAAGTCCTTTAGGCAAATCATGCAACTTGGCAGTTATTTCCGGCTAACGAGACCATACGCAATCTAAATTTATGAGGGTAGAGCCAAAAACTTCCAGTGATCACTGGGACATTAAAACTGCATGCATGGAATTCCTGGTCAATTCTGGTCGTTGAAAAGGTGTTGGATGGTGGAAATGTCTGGAAGTTGTGTCCTAATCTTCCCTGCTGTCTTTATCAACTCCTGAAGAGCCTGCATGATTCTGGGTGCTGCTATAGTAGATGTAAAATGTGAAACTTGACATTGTGTATTGTGGTTTAACTTTGTAATAAGCCTTCATCTCATCCTGAGTGCAATATGCAGGAGAATTTACTACATTTGCCCATTTCAATGTATATACATGTGTCCCCACTAGTAACATATAAATCTGTGTGAAATATGCAAATGTATGCAAATGCAGTCCCCTGTAAACAGGTTAACTTGTTTTTCCCGGAAGTCCCCAAATAGCATGGGGACACCAGTACGAATTATCAGTTTCAACTTTTGAAAGGTTTAAAGGTGTGTTTAGGTTTAGTAACCAATGGCTGCTTTACCTGATTTTTTTCACACTTGTAGGACATCTAGAAAGGGTAGTCCCCACAAATGATGATTGCAAACTTGGTCCCCATGAACAATGGAAACCAGTGTGTGTGTGTGTGTGTGTGTGTGTGTGTGTGTGTGTGTGTGTGTGTGTGTGTGTGTGTGTGTGTGTGTGTGTGTGTGTGTGTGTGTGTGTGTGTGTGTGTGTGTGTGTGTGTGTGTGTGTGTGTGTGTGTGTGTGTGTGTGGTTACGCTCCTGGCCTGAAAAAGTCTCCCAATCCGGCCCTGAATACTGATAATGAGAGGTTGGCTGATGGCTGATATATAATGCTGAGATCAGTCAGGTTATCTGGTTGAAATGTGTCCATATAGGCCAATAATACAATTATTGCGGGTCCTGAAACCCCTCTCTTCTAGTGTAACAAAGCTAACAACATGCTGTTATAGTTTCGTAATCACACAGAAAATGGCAGAGAAATTGATCCTCACATTGAGTTTTCTGAAGTAACACAAAAATATACCAGAAAATATTAAACATTATGAACTCTGTGAAGCCACTGCAGTGAAGTCCAATGAAAATCTTGGACTGAAAGGAGCTCTTTGTGTTGTGTTCTGCAGGATCTCTTATTATCTGTTTAAAGTCATCATGGCAGACGAGCTGTGGCATGATGACTCTCAATCACAGGAGGCTGTAGGAGTAAAACCTTCAGTCACCAAACCAATTATTTCTCATTTGATTCCTTTCATCATAGTAATGTCCGCTGTAAGCAGTGCTCTGCTATTTTAGAGCTTTAGCTGAGCCTGATGAATTTGATGCCACCGAATTACCCATAATCACCATGAAGAATGAAGTTGAAGCAGTCGGAGACGCATTTTCGCCAAGAAAGTTCCAGCAAAAGTGCGAACATACAGTACTTAAGAAAAAGATCAACCTGGAAGAAATACTGCATAACAGCTTTTTGGTCTCAGGAGAGGGAACACATCATGTCTGGTTATAATAGACGATTACTACTTGTTGTGCCAAAAATGTGTGTGCATGTATTTTTTGTAGATAAGTGGTATAAAGAGATGTCCAAAGTCAAATTTAGCACTGCAGCTCTCTTTGTCCCACTGTTTGTGGGTGGCACCCAATTCATGTGTATGCATTCATCCAACATATCTAGAGATTATAGGAGCTGTTAGTTTGATGTGAACACTCGATGACATGTGACAGGCTGCTAGGATGCTGCAGTACAAGGAGATTATTTAAATGCAGACATTTGCTATCTCTTTTTCACACACAGTGCACTCACAGCATACACACATACACACACTACCCAGAGTTTTCATACAGACATTGATGACTGAGAAGCTATGAGTGAGGCCCTTATAGATTAACATAATGTAAATCAGGGGTGCCCAACCCAGCCGATCACAATCGACTCATAGATCGCAGACTAATTCTCAGTCGAATGTGAGAAGTAGCCCTGACAATGGTAAATAAAACTCTTGTAATAAACCTACGCTTTGATAGTATTTTTCTCATGGCTGTGCTGCAAAAGCACCATGCCTCCTCTCTTGTGGCTGTCAGGTCAGGTCACATGTGTGCTGAGAGACTCTTGCTAGTACAGTAGTTAGCAGCTAAAGAGAAGGAAGATAGCAGGCACAAAAACATCGCAAATCTTACTATTTTCACCCAGAGTGGGAAGATGATAACTTTTTTGTTCACTCAAACTCAAGGCCCATCTGTCTCATCAGCAAAGCCAGCATGGCCATACCAAAGAAGGACATTTTGGAACAACATTTTAAGATAGTACACGAAAGTTATGAGACGGATTTTCCCGCTAAAACACGACTACTCTCTTGGAAAGTGCGAGAATGGAAAAGGGGGCTTGCCGCACAGCAGTCTGTTTTTACCAGACCAAACACCAAGGGTAAGACTGCAACAATGGCATCTTATCGAGTTACTTATGCTCTTGCTAAACACAAGAAGTCGTTCAAGGCCGGCAAAGTTGTTATGGAAGCCTTCATCGAGGCTGCTGATGCACTTTTTGGTAGGTCACACTAAGATAGAATGAAATGATTGTCATCTAGATGTGTTGATTTCTTATGTGCATTGTAAATAAACGTGTCACTGATAGGCTGTTGACAAGCACTATGGATGATGACTAAGTGAACTAGTGGATCTCAACAGACAAGAAACTTTTAAAGTAGATCTTGATTTTAAAAAAAAAAAGGTTGGGCACCCCTGATGTAAATAAATGCAATCAAAATTGATTATGTCAAAAAAAATCAGTTAGTCTTAAAATGGTCTTAAATGTTTCCTTTTTTTTCTAAACAGACTTTACTTTTTTAAATTTATAAAAAACAAAAAACAAGTTTACCTATAAACCCAATCTTTATGCAGGAGAAGGATGCAAGGACCTTGGGTATCCAAGTCTTGAATAATACATACCCAACCCCTGTTATAGTACCTTGCATTGAATTAGACTGAAAACTTACCTAAGAGTGTATGCAGCAGGGGGGGAAAACACCAGTATATGGATGTATGATTACAGGGATAGGTTTGCATGCATTTTTTAACATGCATGTTGCATCTCACTGCCTACAAAGCCTTTTATGAATTGTCTTAATTCCAGCAATCCTCATCTTCCATATCATGTTTACTTGACTCGATTTTCTGAGGCTCTCCTGCATCACACTTACATTAGTCATACCATTCTCATTAATCTCCCTGTGTATGAAAAGCAAATTGCGAAGACACTTTATTTGCTTGAACAAATGAACAATCAAAGTGAACATAATGACTCCATATACAAATGCCAGTCTCATTTCGTTATAGCAAATCCATGCAGTATCTTACAGTACACACAATACTGTTCATGTTCAAAATCCATTATGTACACCACTGGTTTGTTTGGAAAAGGAGGAATTAACATTTAAAGTGATTTATTAACATGTTAAACAATGAAAAAAGAAACTGAAAACTGTTTCATCAGCAACACCAATTGAATATTTTTATTTATTTCCATTGAATTAGGAATTAATCACTACTGTTCATCACAGGGTTTTGGGGATAAGATAAAAGCATCAATAACATTAAAGAGATATTCTGGCATAAAATTAAGTTATGGTCAAACACACCATAAGACAACCTATCGAGCTAGACAACCCATCGAGAGATGAATGTTGCCGACTGCTTGCTTTTCCAGTTATACCAACTTCAGCAACAACCACACGATAGCAATACACATTTGTCTACGTCTCCAGTCGCAAACCTCAACCAAAAACGAGTCGATCACAGAGCGCAGTGGAGTTTTGCCGCTCAAGGAAGAACATTTATGATCTTTACTTCATGGAAATGAAGATGCTTAGGCAGAAGAACGGCCGCGCCTGCCGTGCAAAATGATTATTGTGATGATTATTACTTGCACTCAGTGATCGACTCGTCAGGGCTCCCCCACAGATGGCTGGGATCCTATATGTATTGTTGATGAAGTTGGGTGCTGTTCTGAGCATTATTTGTGGCTATAGAGTGGCGTTTTGGTTGAGGGTTGTGCATGGAGACGTAGACTGCTGTGTATTGCTATCGTGCGGTTGTTACTAAAGTTGGTATAACTAGAGAAGCAAGCAGTCGACAACATTCATCCCTCCACAGGGTGTCTAACTCGGTGTTACAGTGTGTTTGACCAAAACTTAAACTTACGCTGGAATATCCCTTTAACATACTTTGACAAGATATTTCAAATTCTATTTCATAATTATGATTTCATTGAGTAGATACTTTTGACTATAAATGTATACATGTGAGAGGAAGGACAACACAAACAAAGATCCAGGTAGAAGGGGACAACATAAGTAA